TGTAAACACGTCATTTTTGAAGCTAGAAGCTTGAATCTTATTGTTGAGACTGTTGATTAAATATAAATACATATGACATTCATTGTTTGTAAAAAAAATACCCTTAAGGGGGTAAAATAAAATAGGGGATGCAAGTTTTTATGTAAAATCGTCATTTTTGAAGCTAGAAGCTTGAAACTTATTTTTGAGGCTGTTGATTAAATATAAATACATATGACATTCATTGTTTGTAAAAAAATTACCCTTAAGGGGGTAAAATAAAATAGGGGATGATAGTTATTATGTAAATTCGTAATTTTTGAAACTAGAACGATGAAACTATTTTCATTGGTTCTTTTGGGGTAGATTTTTAAATACCCCACTAATGTGAAAGTAACTCTGTTTGTCTTTCTGTCAGTCTTACGCTCCAAAACAAAATAAAAATTTAAATGAAATTTGGTACACAGTTACACACACCCGGACAAAGAATATAGGGTACTTTTGAATATGAAAAAAGGATTGTAAGGGGGTTGCAATGGTACGCTGTATGGAAGAATCGTCATTTTTTAAAACTAGAAGTTTGAGACTCATTTTTAGGCTGTTGTTTAAATATCAATAAATATGACATTCAATGTTTGTAAAATTTTTACTCTTAGGGGGAGGGGGGGTAGTAAAATAAAATAGGGAATGAAAGTTATTGTGGAAATTTGCTGTTTGTGTGGTTGTGGAAGCTAGAATGATTAAACTTTTTTCTTTGTCTTTTTAGGGTTAGTTTATTAAATACCTTACTGATATTATAAATGTGAAAGTAACTTTGTCTGTTTGTCTCGCTTACACGCCAAAAATACTGAACCGATTTAAATTGAAATTTGAAACAGACATAGATAGACTAGATCCTGAGAAAGGACATAGGTTACTTTTTAATGTGAAAAAGGGTTGCAAGAGGATTGAAAGGGTAGATCCAAGGTTATATAGATGTATCGTCATGTTTAAAGCTAGAAGCTTGAAATTTATTTTTTAGCCTATTGATTAAATATTTATTTTTACTTTTTATCATTTTTGAAGCTAAAACGATGAAACTTATTTATTTGACTTATATTGTGTTAATTGAGTTAAATATTTTTTCATTATTTACGCGGACGAAGTCGCGGGTACAGCTAGTTTATTATATGTCATATACACAAATATAGTTGTATAGATAACAAACACATATATATATGTGGAAATAAACGACCTTTACCCTTACGACTTACAATATAGCTATAGCTATCTGATGACCCAAACCCATAGCAATAAAATCAGAATAAATCTAAAAATAGGGTTCTATCTATACTTGTTCTAACTAAACAGGACGCAGAAATCTGTCATATTCTGCCAGCTGGATTCTTTAGAACGACGTCGCATAGAAATAAAAACGATAGAAAATGTTTAAAGACAAAAAGTCCAAAGCATATATTCCTATAGGATATTTTTAGTAACTTCAATTTTTGTTGCAAATAATTAAAATAATTGTATACGTAGAATTAAAATGCGAATATTCGCTTCTCTTTCATTACCTCCTTCCTTACTCGTACCAACGAACTTCATGCTGTATTTACATTTTATAATATAGACAATGATCTGATAAGGCAGTATGAATTTAGCTGCTAAGTAATGTACTATAAATTAACTAAATTCTTTAAGGAAAATTATATTAAATAGACAGAGACAGCGCTTGGATAGCGGCGACAAACCTCGACATAAAATGTGTTTTTTTTTGCGTAGATACACATGCATTGCATGCATGTCACGTGTGTATCTGTATGGATATTATTATTATTTATGTATTAGTTTGTTAAATTTTTATTTCATTATGTTGTGGTATGGTTATCTAGCACGTGTGATTAGGTACGCCTGCGTAGGTACAAACTGAAAACCAGCGCTGGACGCCCATCAGCCCAGCAATAGCTGAGTTTGTACCTATTGCCAATCATATTAAATATGTATAAATTATAAATGTGTAACTATACTGATATTGGCAATAAATAAATGGATTTATTATTATTATTATTTAAGTCTATTTTTAACCCTATAGTCTGGTTTTGATAAACCTAGGTAATGGAAAAAATAAATAAACTTAATTTAAGCACTTTTGAATATATGAATTCATAAACATTTTTTTTAACTACCGCTCATCCGGAGACCTGTCTCATCACAAGAAGAAATAGCAAGAAACTTGTGTGTTGCTCTTTTAAATAATCTTTGTAAGTTCACATTTACAAGTCCAAATGTGTGAATACAAACTACCAACCAGCACTAATTTATTAGGGTCAAATATAAATACACAATAAGATTAAATCAGTCGTAGTGATAAGAGCAGACCGGTCCCTACAAGCAGCACTCACTGATATAAAATAAACGGTTTTGTTTCATTAAATACATTTTTAATAAGTTATATATTAATGAAGTCAATTCGACGCTATTTCGATTCGATATTTTATACTGTCTACCTACATTATGTACTCATATATATTTCGTTTGCAGAGCACATTAGCTGCATTACACGACATTCTTTCACGCGCAATTGGGAGTGCAATTTAGCGCGGGAGATCCAACACATGCAATCGTGTATGTTCATGTTATTACTATTGTGATCACTATCTCGTGCATGATAAAGGGTATGTTTCAAATCATTTCACTGTATTTTATAATTTTATTTTTTACTAGCTGTGCCCGCGGTTTCACTTGCGTTAAATTTCAATAAAAAATATAGCCTATATATTAAACTACAGTAATATAGCTTATGCATTATTATATTTATAAGCTATATTACTGTAGTTTCATCAAAATCCGTTCAATAGTTTTCACGTGAAAGAGTAACAAACATCCATACTCACAAACTTTCGCGTTTATAATATTACTAGCAGTTCCCGCGACTTCGTCCGCGTGGAATATTTTTTTATACTTTTTTTTTTTAAATAAAAAAAAATATTATAAGTAGCCTAAGTTATTCCTTATTACATCAGCTACCTGCCAAAAAAGTCCCGGAACAAACAGACCATCAGACAGACAGACAAAAATTATAAAAAATGTTATTTTGGTGTATGTACCGTATATATATATTCATATGCATGTAGTAAAAAACGGTTATTTCAATATTACAAACAGACACCCCAATTTTATTTCTATGTATAGATTAAGATTAGGATTCCACAGATTTATTTTCCAAGGGCACGTTTAAGATTTTTAATTATCAATAAATCTATAATTATGTATCAACTCTATAGTGAGATGTCCTCCCTACCGCAATGGTAAATAATTAATTGTTTCAAAAAGGCGCTAAAGCACTCACAGTTACAAAGAGCGCGGGAATAGATGAACTGGCAGCCCGCACGGTCTTTCTCGTTCTTTTTTTGTCACGTTATATTTATACATTATTTCATGTATAAAAGCCGATTCCCACGTCAAAGAGCGTAATTGTGTATTATATATTTTAGACCCGTATGTGTTTAGGTGACAGAAAATTATACCGTATATAGAAACATTTCAGAATCGTTAATTTAAATTTCATATAGTACTATATAGTACGAAACTACTGGGGATAGTTTGTACAAATTAGTACAACAATACTTACAATATAAAATTTTATGAGACATGTAAATTATATTATACATTATTATACACATTCATTATAGTATACATAAATGCACGGAAATATTGTGTCATTATAACAAAATTAATAGCGCATACATTTCATGAATCCTATAATAATTAAGGTATAATGGGAAGGTCCTGCTTATTAGTAAAAGAGAATACACGCGATGGGTAGTGATTGTATCTGCCATTGGCAGAACTATCCGCAATATATCCGAATATAATACATAAGAATTCCATCAAAACATAATCATAAATTTATATCACCTTAAAAGGTTTATTAAGGTTTCGTAAGGCCGTATGCTTGTTTGCCACATACGTGGTATAAAAAAAAAGAGAAAAAGGAAAATAAGATATCATTCTGAAGGGGAAAGAGAAAAAAATCTTAAAATAAAGTCAATTTATGTTATTCAATAAGAATTCTTTCAAAATCGAACCATCATTAATTTCACCTTAAAAGAAAATAAGTTATTACTGTGAAGGGGAAATAAAAGAATATCTTAAAATAAATTCAACTTAATTTATTTTATAAGAATTCCATGAAAATAGAATAAATATCACCTTCAAAGAAAATAAGATATCATTGTGAAGGAGAAATAGAAAAATATACTAAAAAGAAATTCAACTTAGTTCGGAACAATCATAAATAAAACTTAATAGGCAATTGAATTACCGCAAATAAGAAATGTTTTGAACAATATGAATGTAGTAATGGAACTACCAAAGCCTGGTAAATAAATTACGATACTTTTTATTACTACCCTATGTGAAATTACCCTCTAATACTCAAGCATTGACTACCCTATGTTAGATTGAAATTGCCCTGTAATACTCAAGAATTGCAACTTTTGACATGTGTTACGGCCGTCAAAATAAATAAATAAATAACTCTGTACAATTAACACAGCACTATTTAGTCCCCCGGTAAGCAGAGCATGTGTTAGAGGTACTAGACAACTGATATGAATACATATATATTTTTTTGTAAATACATACATAATATATATAGAAAACACCCAGACCGTTACGAACAATCATACTCATGTATACAAATGTTAGTACTGTGCGAGGTATCGAACCCGCGACCATCGGAAGTAAAGCGGTGTGCTAAACCGCTAGATCACCGAGGCCGTCAATCAAATTTTATTGTGCCAATAGTATTTTCATTTATATTCATGACGACGTTATGTCCGTCTGTTCAGTAATTTTTCAGCTTGTTGGCGAATCCAATTCATATAAAAAAAATGTAAATACGAAAGTGAGTTTATTTTCTATATTTCCATCACAGATAAGATAATTTAACGGCTTAACTAATCAACATGAGATTTATCATATAAGTAGCATGACTTAATGAATTTATATTAAAACACAACAATATTAGTTTACTAATTAACCTGACGTTGTCCTGTCTAAACTAATAATCTTGAATTCGCATTCTGTGCAACTTTGTTTTTTTCATTCGCAAGAACCTTATTCTCACAATAACAAAAACAACAAAAAAAGAATTCGCGAAATCGGTCCAGCGTTTCACGCATGATGGCGTGACTAAGAAAATAGATATTCATTTATATCTATGAATATCCAGAAACAGACTTCTGTAAACACCAACAAAATGTGTAAAACTTGAAAAAGAAAAGAATCGTGGGCAGATTGTGATGTTAAATACTGACTACAACAATGTTATTGTATTCGTAAATATCTTAATCGATGTATTACGTCTATAGTAATATAATAAATGGCTTCAGACCTTCAGGAATGACACAATAATATAATGTACGAACCTTATACGTGTCAAAAGGGAATTATTTTATTATGGTCATATGTAGTGGAAGCAAGTAGTATACCTACCTATCTTTATAATTATCATTCATCTGCTTCTTCCTTATCCCATTTATTTGGGGTCGGCGTAATATGTTTTTCGCTTCCATTCATCCCTGTTCGCAGTCATCACGTTATTTACTTCCTTTCTTACCATATCATCTTTCACACAGTCCATCCATCTCTTTTTCGGCCTTCCTCTGCCCTTATAACCATTGACATTCATATGTAACACCTTTCTTAAAATATTATCCTTATTACGCATTACGCATTATATGTCCATACCATGATAGACGATTACTATTCAACCTCTCTGTCACCTTTATAATTATCATTATATATAATAAAATCGTAAATACGACGTGACGACCCGACAGAAGTGTGTTTGTCCGTTTGTGTGTTAAGGTTTCATGTCAACATCGCTGAAAGAAAAAAATATGATTAAAATATTATGTTACATCATGTAATCCCCGTGAAAGCAATTATCCGTTGTCATTCGGGAGGACTAGTTCTTATTTTGTAATTTTTCAGAAATTGATAAACTGATAAACGATCTCGATCTCGATCTATATACCCCTATTTAAATACTTACTAATGTACATAATAATACAAACCACCCAAATTAATAAAATTAAGCATATCAATGGATAAAACATACCTAATATCTATTTGTTTTGCGTGGAGACTGTATCAGTGATCAAAAAGTAAAGCAATGCGCTAAAGCATAATCGCTTATATGTAAATATTTTTTTCGACATCGACTTGCCAAATAGCATACCTCACGCTATAAAAGCCATTGTCTATATGGAAGCAAGTTATTGGCGTACGAGGCTCCTCTGTTTGCGCACTTTCCGGATATTATTTAGTGAATAATATGACCTTCATAACATATCTGTACATAATATTTACATTATATGTTTATAAAAGCAGTGCTAGTGCAGTGGACGATACGTTTTATCCAAAATACCATTTAGCACCTCCCTATGGATGGATGAACGATCCTAATGGATTCTCGTACTTTAATAATGAATATCATCTTTTTTATCAATTCAATCCAAATAGCAGTATGGAACCTGGAATAGCTCATTGGGGACATGCAAGGAGTCCAGATTTATTCCACTGGGAACATCTTCCAATAGCAATGTACCCAGATGAGTGGTACGACAAATCAGGAGTGTTTTCTGGAAGTGCGATTATAGAAAATGATACAATGTACTTATTATATACAGGAAATATAAACCGTCCCAATGAAGAACCTGATCATGAACAGTATCAAGCTTTAGCCTGGAGTACAAATGGAGTTGATGTTATGAAATACAGTGACAATCCAGTTATAAATGGTACTGAATACCAGCCTAATATTCGCGACCCTAAAGTTTGGAAACACAAGAATACTTACTACATGGTGCTTGGAAACTCTTTTAACAACAATACTTTAGGACGCGTATTGTTATACTCATCTCAAGATTTAAAACATTGGAATCAAGTTTCAATTCTGGCAGAATCAGACGGGACTCTTGGATACATGTGGGAATGTCCAGACTTCTTCGAAATCGATGGACTATTTGTTTTACTATTTTCTCCTCAAGGCATAAAACCTGAAGGCGATAAATATAGAAATATATACCAAACAGGTTACATTGTTGGAACTTTTGATTACGAAACATACCGCTTTAACCCTATCAGCAAATTTAAAGAACTTGATCATGGTCATGATTTTTACGCAACACAGACATTATTAGACTCGCATAATCGTAGAATATTGGTAGCGTGGTTCAGTATGTGGGAACAAAATTATCCAGAAAGTGTTCACGGCTGGGCTGGACAAATGACTATTCCGAGGCAGCTATATTTATCACAAGAAAATAATTTAATTCAGAAACCGGTGAATGAGATTTCAGCTATAAGAGGAAAGTTAATTTATTTAGCTAAGAGTGCACGCGGAAGTGATGTTATACCACTGCATGATAAGTCTGCCGAAATTATTATAAGAGCAATACCATATTTAGATTTGGAATTATTTATTGAGTCAGATGACGGTTCAGCTAAGTTGACGATCAGTTACGATTATAAAAAAGGTCTAGTCACTTTGGACCGTGGAGGTGAGGACGGCATTAGACGCACTTTTTGGAAACCTGCATATACTCATATATTGCTTTGGAATATTTTTGTAGATGCTAGTTCTATTGAGTTGTTCTGCGGGCATGGTGAGGTTACATTCTCCAGTAGATTTTATCCAACTGGAAATCTAACAGTGACTTTAAGTATTAATACTTTTGTTGACGAAATGGTTGTAACGGCAATAGATAGAACTGTTCCTAAGCCTGGTAAATAAATTATGACCAATTTTATAATGGAAAATTATGACCAAGAAAATCTGTTGCATAATTCTCAATGTATAAATTGTAATTCAATAAAGCAGCATTATCAACTTAAATTCCCTTATTATCTCCTTGCAGTGATGTAACGTCAAACAGTCTCTACGTTATTTTTGATAAGTACTAGCGAAATAAACACATATACCATATACATATAATAATGTATGTCTGTATAATTGCAAAAGGATTAATTAACTAACAGATGCACATAAACATTAAAGTACTAGTGTAAAAATCTGTACAAAGGTTATTATTATAACATGAGTAAGCATTAAAATAGATTTTTTTTTATAATTTCAACGGAAATAGTAAACAACACGTTGCGCAATAGTGAAGTCACAGATTGTACTATAGTACAATAGTGTGAAAAAATGTATATAGTATGTACATCATGGTTCATAATATACTTTATATTTATGTTAATCATGATATATATAAATCGGTTCTGATATTTATATAGTATTAACTAATATTATTATTTGTAGAAAGTGCTATATAAATAATCTTTCATCATTAATTTGATAATGACAATGTTTTCATTTTACACAATATATAGATTGTAATGTAAATAATTTACAATTGAACTCATATGGAAAATTCATAAAAAAACATTGATATAATATTGAAAGAAATAATTGCAAACATCCGTCTGGGATTCCCTACAGATCTACGAGTATAATTGCGGTTTGCAGAATCGTTGTACTCACAATGACATAGTTAAGTATTATTACAATGCTCGTTTGTAACTATATGTATGTTTGTATTAAATCTAGACACGCGGTAGCGTGTCAAGCCGAGTTTCAAGTAAACTGGCAAGCAGCACCGTGTGTATATTTACACGAACCATTTGGAGCCACTTTTGACCCCCTCATAACTCAAAAACTCTTTCACACAAACCTGTCAAATTTGGTTCATATATTGAGACTTGCGAGATAAATATGTGTTCCAAATTTCATAAACATATCGCAAACGGTTATTTAGATATTAATGTCCAAAAATCGTCATTTTTATCACTGATCAACTATAGATCAAAATTATAACCCACTTCCAGATGACCTAGGAAGTTCAAATTTGGCATGCAGATAGGTAATTAGGTGAATATAAAGGAAAATATCTGAAACTGTTAAATGGTTTGTTATCATTTTACTACAATTTTTCACTTTAATTGATTCTATTTCAACTTATACTGGACGAATACTAAAATTCTATGAAAACGTCGATAGCCACCAATTGACATTGATCCCTGGCGAAATATCTCATCTTGTACTGGACGGAAAGTAATATTGTATGAAAACGTCGATCATTACCAATTTACGTTGACCCCTTCACATCAGTGTCGATAACTAGCAAACTTCAAATATTGCATTGAGCGGTAAACACTAGTTGCTATAATTTAGATTCTGTCTAAAATATACTCGTACTTATAACTAGGAGTATAGTCGTTTTCGTATTTATTATGTTATTAACTGAGATTTGGTATTAATTATTGTTTCAATATTTAGCGCACATCGATAGTGTAAAATCATTATTTTTATAAATAATTATTAAATAATAGGCATTTCGGTATAGGAGGCCGCGGCGGCGCCGTGTGGGAGCGGTGCGATAAAACGTTGACGCGAACCTGTCCGAGCGAATGGCAGCCGCCCTCATATGTCTCAATGTTTTGTTTCTCGATATCTAACCTATAAGGTTGCGATTTATGCTACGAAATTCATAGTTTTCTTAAATTATACTTATATATTTGTGGTTATATTATTATTACATTATTTTAGTAAATACGTATGGTATAGACAATAATTTAAACCAAAAATTAATAACAATTTTAGTATAGTTATAAGTAGGAATGTATAGTTAACTCGAGAATGAGAACTCATTGGTAACAAATTGTTTTCTTGAGAATTCAATAGATAACAGTCAATTTGTTACATAATCGTCTTTACGAACTATAACGTGTCAATACGAAGTTTCAGATATTAAATAATGTATATGTTGAAAGAGAACAATTCCGTATTTGCTTAACATATGCTATTACTATCCACAAATCACAAGGCCTTAGTTTTGGCAGTCCTCGTCTCAACATAGGCTCCTCTATATTTAATAAAGGGCAGGTTTACGTTGGACTCTCCAGAGTTAAAACCTTAGATGGAGTACATCTTAACAATTTAGATCCAAGTCACGAGAGCTCTATTGTAGAGTACAATCATCTGTGGACGTTATACCGACCCGATTTGCCCAAAAATTCCTGATACTGAATTGGCATTGCACTTGAACATTTAAAAGTTACAAGAAAATATAGAAAATAACACAAAAAAAAGACAATTATACCCCGTAAATATACGAAAATACAGTATTTTATCAAAAATAATTTGGTATTAATTTAGTTATAAATATGTACCTAGTATAATTTATGTACAAAAAGTAATGATATCCCATCAAAAACATAAATGTGAAATGATAGCCGAGTTTAATATTATGATATATGCCTTGATTGTTGACTTCTACGACAAAAGAAATGAGATCTAAATGGGTGCCAAGTTCAATGGTCTGTCCTGAAATGTATTTATAACAATATAAAATATCATTTCTTCTTATAACTTAGGATAATATACTGTAGCCTAAGGTCTAACTTGGCTAGTTTTCATATACGAAATATACTGTAGCCTTCGCAAGTTCTAAACATGTTACTTGTCGGTTCCTATTTTAATATTAGTAGTAACTAGCAATCGAAAGTAATAATTGGTATATGAGAACTGGCCAAGTTAGAACTTAGGCTACAGTATATTATCCTAAGTTATAAGAAGAAATGATATTTTATATTGTTATAAATACATTTCAGGACAGACCATTGAACTTGGCACCCATTTAGATCTCATCTCTTTTGTCGTAGAAGTCAACAATCAAGGCATATATCATAATATTAGACTCGGCTATCATTTCACATTTATGTTTTTGATGGGATTTTATTTCTTACGTAGTTAAAGAATAGTAAATTATAATAATATTTCCAACACTACTCGACGATAGATTACGATGATTATTATACTACAGGAAACGATTATGTAATTTGAAAGATTTCCAACAGCAAACAGATATGGGCCATAAAAAATGAGTAGGTATTCAAACTGATAATCACTGTAATCTTACGGAAAAAGAGCATCTTCGTTATTTTAAACATATTGAGGAATCTACGAATGGTATTATGCGAATATGTTTTGTAAAGGAAAGATAATTTATGAAAGCTAATAGTTTCACTACCATAGATTTCAAGTTACTCTGTCTACTAACGCAAATGGATATTGTCCGTATATTTCTTTTCTCGTTCAATGTCCTTCTCTACATTATTACAGTAAGTTGGAATATATATTTTTTTCTTAATTTTGTCCATTCCAAGTTTTTCTGTATATTATAAACTGTAATTAGCACGACATACCTGCATGTTGTTACCTCTGTTTACACTGTGGTAAAACTGGGAACGTCCTCGACCCGGAAATCTCATAGATGCGGGTGCAAACCTCTCAGGTATGTATTACTCTGTAATACTCGACCTGCCTGTAGGTAAATATTTTCACTAAATTTGGAGCTACCCGTAGAGTTAATACTAATTCCATTCCACCTATGTATGTCTTGGGAAATTTGTAAATTTAATCAAACGTTTAGTAATAAAATGAAGTAGAAACACAAACAAGCTGTTTCCAAATTTACTTCTTAAGTACTTGTGGATAGTAGTTTTTTTTATTCTATCACATCACATAAACCTTAAGATATGGAATTTGCATATTAAACGTATCATAAACTGTTCTATTTACATTTTTTTAAGACAATGATGGAAGATCGTGGAATCTGGCAAGAGCTCCACCGACAACAGCGTCGCTCTTAAATTATGAATGAATGAATATATATATTATTATATATACATAAAATTTCATTAACATACATATAATACTACTAACATCATAAATGCAAAAGTGAAACGCCACTACACATCCTAAGTGGTTGTAGCCCACTCATGCATAAACGAAATATCTCCTTTGGAAAGTTTACACTCTTTCCCGAGGAGATAAAAACCATCGCTCCTAAGAATATGCTTCAATTCTTGTCCCTGACGGGTCTAGGTAGCGAACTCTGTAAAGGGCGAGCATCATCTATGTAGGTCGCAGTGCTACAGGTCCATGCACGTGACAATAGCCCAAACAACCCAATAAAAAAAAATCTACATTTTTCATTCAATATTCGATGTTAACAGATCGTAAATTTCGTTTCGGTGTTACATTAGTGTGTAACATTACACTAATAGAAATAAAATAAAAAAGGAATAATAAATTATAATTTAATAGCTAAATATGTACAAAATTTTACAATGCATTCACGGCTCTACATAAAGTAGATAATACATAAATAAATATTTATTATTACGGTACATAAAATCCTAATTACTAATTTAACAAATAATGACGCGCAATAAAATCGCTTAATCTACGTATATTTTATATAACTCTATAAGTCAAGTTTATATTTCATCACATACTTGGTCATATTTCTAATCGTTTTAAGTTTGTTATAATTCTATACAACAAATTCGAAATATATATATATAAAGCATTGTAAGGATATATATACAAAGCACATTATATCATAACATAAATTTATGTTGGCACAAATATAATTAAAGATCCAATTTGGTTTAAATTATTCATGCATCAAATCGCTTAACACTCTTAGAAAATCATACAAGTTAATTATGTTTCTAATCTGATACTTGTAGTTATAAATAATAATGATGATAAGTATTTCATTATTCATTATAGTAAATAAAACACTTTAATATTTATACATAAGATTCCTAAGTCGGATGGTTGGTAATGTAAACCTTAATGCTAACTTGCACTAAGTAAAGGGGATTCTCAGTATTTGATACTATTTCTCCATTGCTAACACTATATGTAACCTGTTGGGTTACCACCATGAGGTCACGAGATCTTCCCTGGTAATCTGGTTACGTTGTATCATTCACTGATGCCTCGATAAAATACACTATTAGAATAAGAATCACTCTCGTTGCAAATGTGTCTTAGTTCACTTAAAAATAACAGTTTCAGTTCTAACAAGTAATAATTAAAACGGGAATAGCTATATGTATGGATTCGTGTATCACTAAAATATGTACAGTCTTCGTGAAAATATAGAATAACAAACAAAAAAATGCAGTCAATTAGAGAACCTCTTCATTTCTATTACGGTTGACAAATATAATATCATCACTATTTATTGTATTTACAATACCTACAAGATACATACCATATTCGATTTTACTTTTTTGTATCAAGCACATGACACGGCAAAGAATTTGATAATAATAATAATAACAGCACCACTATGTTGCTATACAGGATTATTCAGTTACCGGATGCAATCTGTTTATTTATTAGTAGTCAATTACCTATGGTGGAAACACAAATAGATTGAGAATTCTGAAGAAAACGAACATTTAATTTCAATTTTAAAAGAATTTGAATGGGACCTTCAGATCCTGTAGTCTAATTATTTCTAATTATAGAAAGCGAAGGTTCACATATTGCTTTCAAGAGATCTACATCCTGCAGTAGATATTACAGGCAATGATGATCATTAAATATAATTAGAACTATTTACAACATTGTAATGTAAGGCTACGTATAAGATAAAGTCTCGTTATTAAAAGTGACGTCGTGATCACCAGAAAATTCCTGTATCATACCAACAATAGACACATATGCTCCAGATACCAACGCAATAATTGAAACAATACCAATCAAAGAATTCTTCCAAAGAATATAATTGAATTTCCCAAGACCTCTCTCCCAATGGTAGACGGTGTCAATGACTGCTGGAATGAAAAGTCCAAGAGTTGAGAAGAACACCGCTCCAACGAAGCTGATTACCAACTCCAAATTTGGGAATGCTGCAGCAATGGCAACTGTGAACAAAGGATATACTTTTAGTGCTAAACATAATTGTAGTCCATGTGCATGTGTTAAAATGCATGTGTAACTGTAGTACAGAGTAAATTCAACTATTGTGATAACATTATGGAGAAAACAGCGAATACATTAAGATATATAAGAAGTCTTAAATATCAAATAAGTGTAGTATAACACTACAATCATTATGTACATTAAAAATTTTAAAGAAAATATAAAATAGAAGTTAAGTAAATGAATATAAAAGACATATTAATTATTTTAGTGAAAATGCAGAGCAATGAAGAATAAAATGCTTAAAGAATTTTACTATCACTGGAAAAATATTTTTAAAGGTTCTATTAAGTAAGCAAGGAACAGTTGGCCACGTTTATGCCGTATGCCCCTATTTTTTATAAATTTTAGTGACAAAATTGTATAATTCTACCAACATCATCAAAATTTCTACACGTCTTACATTTTGGATCTATGAATAGTAATATAACATCACGGCCTGTTTTTTCAATAACAAGAGAAGTATAACAAAGAGGAAATAAGATAAATTCTACTTTTATTATCCACGTATTTAACAAACTTTCACAATTTTCCGAAGTTTCTGGATACGACAAAAAATATATTTTTCCGTACCTACCTGTTAGCAATTTACATTATGATTTTTTGCTATATTTATTTATTTTGCTTATAAAGTTTCTTTAGGCGTTTCGTACGAATTCTATGACATGTATTATATTTACAAAATTACGTATTTACTCAGTATCAGTTTGTTTATTATCGTATACTATATACATGAAATTTTCAAGGGTGTTTATCTTTCTTGCTTATACTGCTAATAATATAAACATAATTGTTTGTGCCTATCGGTAATGTTTGTATATGTATTATCCTTGAACACTGTTGAATGGGTTTAAAATTAGGTGTTCGATCCTGACCTTCATTAATATATAGTACTAGATGTACACGCGACCTCGTCCGCGTGGAATTCAACTAAAAGGAATGTAGTTTTCTAAAATAAATGTAGCCTAAGTTACTCCTTGTTACTTCAGCTATTTGCCAATAAAAGTCCCGTTAAAATCGGTCCAGCCATTTCAGAGATTAGTGAGAACAAATAGACAGACAGCCAGAGAGACAAAAATTGTAAAAATGGTTATTTTGGTGTATGTCCCGTAATTACATATGCATGTAATAAAAAACGGTTATTTCAATATTACAAACAGATACTCCAATTTTATTTATATGTATAGATAAACATGTATCCGATTTTAATAATAAAAACTCACCAGTAATAGTAACCAATGTGATCCTTATAGCCACTTGTATGATATTCTCATATCTGTTTGATTGTCTTTTCTTCAGCAATCGTGTTATCATTTCCATGGGTACGTAGAACTGTAGTGCATAGGAGAGGAATATGACAACTGCCATTAATAATGTGGCGGATTCTGCGATACTGGAAGAGATAAAATATTATTAACTAACTACCCACCCCGCAAGAGGGATGTTTATGTATTATATATATAAACATCCCTCTAGAATCACTCTATCCATTAAAAAAACCGCTTCAAAATCCGTTGCGTAGTTTTAAAGATTTAAGCATACATAGGGACGGACAGACAGCGACAGCGACTTTGTTTTATACTATGTAATAATGATTAGATTCTCTTAATTTTATTTTATAAATGGTTGAATTCAAAGAAGTTAATGGCCCTAAGTTTATGGTAAGTGGTATCGGTACAGTAACAGCACTATTACGTCAGATTAATACGACAAAGGACATAATACAAGTCATTCTTTGCCATCTCGGATGACTAATGTCTACTAACTCTGTACCCTGTAATTTCACTATCTTTTAATTAACTGAAAAATATTATACAGAGCAAATTGCGTGGCGGAAATATACGAGACAGAGGTGCCAATACAGAGAACATTGTACAAAGATTCCTCTTAATAAGAAACTTACTCAAACTTGAAGTAAATATTGATATAAAAACTTGCTAATTGCTCCAACCTTTCACGAGTTCTGCGCTTAACAACACATTTAGGGATTCAATTTTATTTGTATATACATTCAAAGCTGTATTAGAGACAAGCTTATGATTATACTATTAATAATATCATATACTCAGCTAATTTTATTCAAAATAAAAATCATTTGCTTTTAATCTAGTAGGGTTAACTTTCAATCAAATATTTAAAGCTTTATTTTTTGGTGTATAGATATTCAGTTCATTGTCAGTCATATTAGCGACAAACATATTAAAATTGTTATGGTTAGTGTAACGAATCGATGGATTCTAAATAGGGAAAACAGGTAGATTATAACGATATAATATATTACTATACTGCTGCAAACTACGGTAAGACAATATGTGAAATATATAAAAAAAAACATGACATATAAAGGAATAGTTCTAAAAATAATAATTATTAAAGTATTAATAATATCAAAAGTGTTCGCGATGGTCGGTCGCCAACAGTTAACTAATGCCGATTCCCTTTAAATTCAGATCAAAATCAGCTGTTACTAAACTAGTAGGTCTAACTTTCGTTCAAACAAATCAAAACACTTCACATTTGTTAAAGTTGAATTAATTTCCTCGTCGGGATCAGTCAGAAACCTTAATTGACATGGTGGTTTTTTGTGAAATTGTTCAAATTTCAACTGCGAAAACAAGTTTCGTTTTCAGGTACTATGAATGAAAATTAAACCATGACGTTCTTCTATATGAATATAAACAAAACAAATTAAATGTTTAAAAATTAGTGTAATACTTACATAGAGTCTTGAGGAAGGTTTAAAGTAATGCTGCCCTTGACGTCGTCTCCAAATTGAAGATATCCAAAAAAGCCGAAGATGGCGTATAGAACTATCACAATGACCATTGAAACATTCAGTACTCCAGGACATCCGAGGAACTTCTGCGGTTTCGCCATCTCGTTTTCCACTGGCATGACCACGCCAATACCCTCCATAGCAAAAATAACAGTGCTACAATGATAAAAGAACAATGTAGTATTGTTATTTTACAATTAGGTATACGGTTGTCCTTATTAGACACCGATTTAGCTCATTTTTTATATTACTCAGCCTAACTAGTGTCTAGAAATTAATTTTAATTTCTGATTGTCTACATAGGAAAAATATAATATAGTATTTACACCGCAAATGTCATAAAATGTGTGTATGTTTTAGATTCTATGTGCTATATGCAGCAGTGCAAGTGGGTCATATCTTGTAGCTCAGAGTAGGTAAACATTGATTTCCAGCTATAGCCTGGAGTAGTCACAAATGGGCAAAAGATTTAATAAATATACAACTTAGTCTGTACCAAATTATATTTTTATCAAATCTATTGTAGTTTGAAGAACTGAGTTTCTTCCTCTTGCATTATTATAACATGGTTTGTTGCTTAATCCTCTTAAGACGTTCAGGGAACGTATATATATAAACTATGATACAAATTTACGTCCATATGGTGACAAATTAGAATACAATGTTTTGCTACTTATCACTCTTTATGTGTAAGTTTTACCTAAGTGCCGTTTGACGAAAGTCAGTAATTCATTTTATGGAAATTGCTTAAGATTTTACAACAAGAGTCTGTAGTCAATTTGCCAGAAAAATGTGTCATAAAATATTTTCTTTGTAAAAAAGCTTATTATAAAATTGAAGAATTTATAAATAATGTTTTTGTAGAAAATATTTAACTTAAAATTCAGAACGCTGACAATGTTATCTTATTGAACAAAGATTAAGTGCGTAGCGGTTTCTATGTTGATTGTCGCATGCCTAATCCTTGGCTTTAATTAAAAATAAGTAAATCAATATTTATTTAAAAGAGCAACACACAAGTTTCTTGCTTATTCTTCTTGTGATGATTGTCTGCATTCCGAATAAGCGGTAGGCTAAAAAAACTTGACTATTCAAAAGTGCTTATATTAAGTTTATTTGAATAAAGATCATTCCTATTTCTATTTCTATGTGAATCCAACCGTAACTTGAATTAAAATTTTCATCCTGTATATCCTATGATAGAACTCAGACAAAGATGTTGTTATTTATTGATATTAAGTTTATTGAAATCATGAGTGTTGTGTGTTTAAACCTCTCCCAAATAAACACCATTTCATTTCATTTCGAATTCTGTACAATGTAGTAGATCATCTTCATCACAGACAATTTTGATAAGTTATCTTCCTAAATTCGCTCTATTGGCCATCAACCCAGAACATTATCTATGGAAACTACTTCTTGTCGGGAATGTTAAGTCACAAAAAGAAAAAAAAACTAGATACTTACCTAAAAAACAATGGCCATTGAGATATGTCAGCCACCATCTCCCTTTCACTCAAGGGCGGTAGATCCACGAACATATAATACATGGTAATGGCAAACACAATCATGATCATCACATTGGCGATTGCTGAGAACGGCACCAAATATTTCAGGTTTCGTATTTGGCAGATTATTATCAGAGGTAGCAGAGTTAGGAAACAGTACATCTGAATGGATATTTGGTACTCTGGTAAGGCTACATCCAGCACCTACAATTATATATAAACATATTAAGAAGCCTATCATGACTTAGCGACCAATTTTTAGAGATACAGATCGATACAGAATTTTGAATGCATATGGGTTATTTTTATGATAAGTACCTACCGGTACTAGGTAAGTCTTTTTTTTTTATTGGGAGATTTAGGCTATTATCAGTTTTGACCGCACTGCGACCGACATAGATCTATTGTGCTCGCCATATTGTTTTTCAGAGCGTTTTTATCTCCTCAGGATAAGATGGTTTTTATCTCCTAAGGATAGAGTGTAAACTTTCCAAAGGAAATATTTCGTTTATGCATGAGTGGGCTACAATCAGATAGGATGTGTTTGCTCTTCAGCTTGACGAAAAAGATAGTATATTTAATCTGTGATGGAGGAAAGGACAAAGATTATGGAAACCTTAACAGAACCGGTTTGACTATCCTTAACGCTTCCGTTTAAGAACATAATTGTAATAAAATAATGTTTATTTTACCTCTTTAAACGAAGATGCAATGAAGACAATATACACACATAACACACTTATGTATGTCAAAGTCATTGAGTAATCTATTAGAGTTCTGAAACAAGAAATATTATAATTAAAATAGCTATGTTATGTAATCCTACTCTCTTTTACCATCGCACCGCTCGCCATCGACAGGGAATTCATTCGCACACGCTGGAACCTAAGTGTTCTCGGACTGCGCGATTTTAGAGGAGCTTCCTCCCGCGTACACTTAGATTGTAGAATGAACTTCCTGCCGAGGTTTTCTCACGAGACTACAGCATGGGGTTTTTCAAGAAGGGTATATTAGGTTTCTTAAGGGTCGACAACGCGCACGTGACGCCCCTGGTGCTTCAGGCGTCCATAGGCTACGGTAGCCATATACCATCAGATGGGCCGTATGCTTGTTTGCCACCATAGTAGTATAAAAAAAAAGTTAAATGTTTTGATTGAAATTTGAATTTTAAACGAAGTCAATGTTAAAGTATAGGTATACATATATACACACCTATATATTAAAATAAAAAAAAATATTCAAATGTTGTTCTCAATAAGAGTGTTCTCACTTCTTAGGCAACAAACATAAAAAATAAACAAAATGATTATTATTTATTTGTGTCAATAGTAAATCTAAATATGTTTAGAGCAAAACTTAGCGACTTAAATATATAATTCTTTTTCAAGTGTTAACTGTTATATTTTAGCAAATTAAAAATAACATGTTATCTATATCATTGTTGTTTTAAATATACTACACAATAGAATCGAGAATGTTTATATTTGTTTGTCATGCAGGACAAAAAGGTTTATTTGATGAAATAATATATCAAATCATTCATAACACAGACAAAAAGAATTACCATTTTGCTTTTGTCCTCGAGCCGTTTGAAGTACGTAATCATTTTTATAGGCCTACCCAAATCTGATTAGATATGTATAATCTACTAGCTTCTATCGCGACTTTGTCTGCGTGATGTATTAATAAAAGCATCACGTACTAACTGTTGAACAAATTTAATGAAACTTTTTACAGATAAGGATATCTTTTGGAATGGAGTTTTTCCTAAGACCTATCTATGAGAGTGTTATGGTTTAGTGGTTTAATGCCCTGAATTATGTAAGATGTCGTGAGTTCAAATATACATCAAAAAAACAAATTTGTGTGTAAATTTATACACTCCGGTGAAAGAATCATCGATATCAAACCAAAAATCAATTTGAGAGACCGTGGTAGGATAGCTCTCTGTAACCTTAGATTCAAAATGTACTGAGCGAAGGGCCAAGTTAAGTGTTACGTTCACTAAACGTCAACAATTGACAAAACCTCTAACTATCTCATCTAGGATAAAAATCATGACGGTATGTTGTTGTTTATCTTGACAGCCTCGGTGGTCTAGTGGTTTAGCACACCGTTTTACTATCCGATGGTCGTGGGTTCGATTCCTCGCACGGTACAAACATTTGTATTCATGAGTATGATTGTTTGTATCGGTCTGGGTGTTTTCTATGTATAATATGTATTTATTTACAAAAAAAATGTATCCATGTATTTATATCAGTTGTCTAGTACCCATAACACAAGCTCTGCTTAGCTTGGGATTAGATGACGCTGTGTGAATTGTCCTTAGATATTATTATTTTATTATTAATATCTGAACTTGTCATTTTTCTGGACTACCAAATATCATCTTAATCTTAATAATATAATAAACGCGAAAGTTTACGAGTATGGACAAACTCGTGAGTATAAAAAAACATAGATGTTTGTTACCCTTTCACGCAAATACTACTGAACGGATCGGTATGAAACTTTACAGTAATATAGCTTATACGTTAGAATAACACAGAGGCTATAATTTAAAAAGATATGTAAATTGGGCGAAATATCAAGTAAGTGTGATGCAGACGAAGTTACGCGAGTCAGCTAGTAGCAGAATAAAACTAAAAATTATTAGATATACATACGAAACCAGGTCGAGAACTTATATTAAAGAAATGTATCTGTACTGCCTTATTCTGTCCAATAATCGCAATGGAATCATTGACGTTGAGAATATAAAACGGTCAAATTATTCTAACAGAAAATAGATATAATAGGCATATCTTGTTTTGAGAGGTTTTCACAACGGAAATTAGAATTTTCTATCTAGATATCAAATAAATTTATATTCAGAAATAAATAGAACTTCATTAAATATTTTAGATATGGCTTATTTTTAGAAATATTTCTATATATACTAAAATATAAATTATATTATAGCTTTATATAAATGTAATTATATTTATTCTACTACCATATAAGTACCACAATGCCACAAAAGTAGGTAAGATATATTTGTTATATATGATAAATATTATAATCAATATTTTTTTATATGTATATATATAACATGTAAATAACATATTTAGAGCCTATAAACAGTACTTTGAACATAATATTATATCTATATATAATTATTACAAAGGGTAATAGTACAAATTTTGAGAGGTCAACAAAAAGTCACCAATTATATATTTTTAGAAATGACTGACCTGAATAATATATAATCGGTATTGTCCGCATAGAATATAGTCTATATTGTATGCGGTCTATATTATAAGAATCTAACTTAGAATCAAGTATAAAAAAAATCTCGTTATTGTACTATAATAACATCTTACAATCTCCAGTTATAACTTTGAGGTCACCCTTATACTTAAGTTACACATAGTGATCTATCAACGCACAGCCCAAACCACTAACCGGATCGGGCTGAAATTTGGCATGCAGGTAGATGTTATGACGTAGGAAAGAAGGGACGCTAAGAAACGATTTTGAATAATTCTACCCCCAAGAGGATAAAATAAGGGATTGTATGAAACTTTCTCAATTTTAAACCAATCTACTATGATAAAGCTACTATGACGTTGGCATCCGCTAAGAAAGGATATTGATAAATTTCACCCCTAAGGGGATAAATTAACGCGAGCGAAGCCGCAGGCAAAAGCTAGTGAATTATAAAAAGTGATATATTCTAAGACCGTAAAATATTGTTTTTATACAATCCGAAGTTACGTAATGTACGGATACTAGTCGTATTAATGGAAGGCTATATTTTCTAGGTCTTGTATCACCAACAAATCAAGATTAAGACGTGACTAGAAAACTTGTTGTTGAAAAAGTATACGAACTTGACAAATTCACCCCAAGCTTGTAATCTTTTCGGTCCGTAAGTGAAGACCGCTCCACAGGTTTCAGCGAAACTCATTGAAGGTTTTTTCGCGTCGATGCAAATATTTTGTGATGCTTTCACCTAAAATAATAAGAAGAAATTTACATTTTCTTATTTATGTAGACTTGTTGTTGTTATTATATGAATTTGGTTTGTTATAAAGGCAGAGGAAGGCCGAAAAAGAGATGGTTGGAATGTGTGAAATAATGCACGGTAGAAACATTTATAATTATGAGTATGAGTTATTTGTATTGATTTGGGCGCCTTCTACATATATACATAAGCTCTTCTTAGCGAGGAACTAAAGCTCTATGTAAATATTACAGGAATATTCTTATTATTTATTATTGTACAGAAGAAAATTTTCAAAAAATTTCAAACAGTCTTATAGGATGGTTTATAAATTTTGGTTATCGGAAATTTGGTACAAGTTTCTTTTATTCTAATTTTATACGTTTTACGTAGATTAAATTTTTTAGAATTAATAATGTTAGCTAAGCGATGATATAGATTTATTTGAATGCAGTATGGAGTAAACCACCACTCGCCGTCTCTCGGATTAAATTGGTTTGTTATTGATGTTTATATTAGTGGTGGTTCAGTCAGACATATACATGAATACATAAAATCTGTATCAGCCAGATTCAGACTCATAAGATTAAGGGTTTATAAACCCAAGACGTGCCAATAATCATATAGACTATGGCAAAATGGTGTGCGGTTTGTTTTTAAATTATTTACTAATAATATTTCATGATATTTTTTTTTTATAACACAGGGGATAAACGAGCATGCGGCTCACCTGATGGTAAGTGATTACCGCCGCCCATGAGCACCCGCAACACCAGGGGAATTGCAAGTACGTTGTCGGCCTTTTAAAAAGGAATAAGCTCTTTTCTTGAAGGTTTCAATATCGTATCCGTTCGGAAATACCATTGCTGGAAGGTGATTCCACAATGTGGTTGTGCGGGGCAAAAAGTTTCTAGAAAACCGCACTATGGAAGACCGCCATTCATCCAGATGATCAGGATGGTATTTCAGTTTCTGGCGGGTGGTACGATGGTGAAACTCAGCAGCTGGTATTAATCCGAACAATTCCTCAGAACACTCCCCGTGATATATGCGGTAGAAAATGCACAGAGATGCAATATCACGCCGCAAAGCCAATGGGTCGAGAATATCGGAATAACCTCTATTTATACTCTTAATATTATTATAACCGCGAAAGTTGGATGGATGGATGTTTGTTGCTCTACGAATGATGATTCTAGAGGAAGATTTATATATATAATACATGTACACTCGTCCGAAGCCAGGGTGAGTAGGTAGTATAACGATAAATGGCAAATAATAGTAACATTATAAATTTAACAGTGAAGCTGTCTGTCTATTCGTTACTATTTATGATTACACGGGTGAACCGATATCAATGCTATCTGACATTTATGTTTACTTGAACAAATACCCATCTATTGCATTAAAAAAACGCAGACGTAATAATTGGTTTTTAGAATTGAACATAATTGTTAAATTATAAAAACCTTATATTTTTGCATTTATTCTATTTTTCGGACTTGTTCACAGAACTATATTTTCTGGAAACCATAATGCGGGTGTAAGTTATATTCATAACGGGCACCTATTCCAAATATAACCCATTTTGTGAGGATTTCTGGGAAAATTTCAAAATGGCTATGCTCGAATTGATTGACGCAATCTATTGTCTGGAAAATCTATGTATCCACAGTTTTATAAAAAACATTTTTAGCCATACTAATAGATATAATAAATATGAGTATATTTATTCAATAACAACATTAGAAACTATTTATAAATAAATTAATTACTATCCATAGTAATACTAAATGTGAATATTTATTTACGAGTATTCAAGAACAACATCAAAACTATTTATAAGTGAATTAATTACTATATGCTAATGCAGAATAGCTTTATGTGTACAGAGGCCGTATATCATACAGTAACTACATATATGCTAAAATTACTGCATATACATATATATGCTTTTTTTTATAAAAATAGAATTTAGGCAATTATTTATATCTGATTGTAATTTTTATACGATTCATAATGTAAGGAGTGCAGTAAGGATTAGTTTGGTGGTAAGTACCAACCGTTATCAATATCATATCATACTTTCCACCTTCATGAAGAACTACTACTAATGAACTACTGAACGAAAAAAAAATATATGTATTTGTATCAGTTATCTAGATCCATAACACAAGCTTTAGCTAGCTTACTTGGGTCTAGATAGCGCTGTGTGAATTGTCATGAGATTATTATTATTGTATGTTTTCATACACACAGCGTATAGAGTATCTTGCTTTGTACCTTGGTAACTTAAATACGTGAGACAGACGTAGGATTTCAATAGAATTGTACAATATCTGTCTCTGTAAGTCTGTATGTGTATGAAAAAATATATAAATACTTACGAATATATGTATGGTATGAGTGCAAACGAGGCCAGCGAGCAGTGTTCCTATAGTGCCGGTTACCATCCCGCAGTTCTTGAAGGCAGCTGGCATTGCCAGGATACCAGAGCCGAGACATGCTTTTAGCAGGTGGAGAATTGATCCAAAAACCCTGTTGCAAAAAATATTATAAATCTATAATAATATTGTAAAGTTGAAAAGTTTGTTTGTCTGAACGCGCTATTTATTGCATTATCATGGCTAATATTATAAATGCGAAAGTAACTCTATCTGTCTCGCTTTTCTGGTAAAACTACTGAACTGATTTAAACGACGTTTGGTACTTAGATAGTATAAACCCAGAGAAAGAGTACACATAGGCTATTCTTTAATGCGAAAAAAGGATTTTAAGGGGTTGAAAAGGGAGACGAAAGATTGTAGGGAGGTATCGTCATTTTTAAAGCTAGAAGTTTGATTCTTATTTATTAGGTTGTATATTAAATAATTATTATATTCAAATATATATGTTTGAAAAAATTTTATCCTTAAGGGAGTAAAATAAATTAGGGGATGAAAGTTTGTAAGGAATTTGGTGTCTTTAGCGTTTTATAATTAGCTCAAATAATTAAAAATGCTATCGATGGCTACTATTTCACACGGCACTAACTGTGCCCGCGACTTTGTATATTGATTTAATATAAATTCAAGATATTGGCCGTTCCCTGACTACGATCTTTCTAGCACAAGTGCTCGGAGAAACAGCATAAATGCTAATCATCATTACTTTAGGTTTTATTAGGTTGATAAAGTTCCCCAATAATATGTAGTTTTTCTTATATCTTTTATTATAGACATAAACCTAATAATGTACATGTTATTCGTAGCTATTTTACCACATTATATGTAATTAGATATATTTTTCTTTGTTCCCACAGATGTTTCAGCCTGGAGTGAAACGTAGAGTATATAATATCAACCTAGTATTACCTAAAGCCTAATTTAATATAGGAAGCTAAAACAGTACAAAGATGATAGAATCAATGCAGTAAGTGCTAAATTGGCATCTTTTCTATAATCTATCTAAATACATTCCATAATTTTCATCCGTTTTATGTAGATTTTTTAAAGATGTTCACTTTGTTATTCAAGTGAGTATTTATTTATTTCAACGTTTCTATTTGGTAGTTTGTATTCACATAAAATTCTTAAATAAATAATTCTGATCAACCTTTATTTGAAAGAGACACGCAAGATTCTTTCTTATTCTTTATGTGATGAGACTGCATTCCGAATGAGTGGTAGAAAAATCTGACTATTCAAAAGTGCTTATATCAAGTTTGTTTGAATGAAGATTATTTCTATTCCATTTTAATTGTTTTTATCCTTTACCTAAATATAATCAATCTTATTATCAAAGTTTAACAAAATTTAATAAATTAAAAGTACAAATGTACGTAAGTGCTTTCATAGCGATGTATTTTTTTTTTCAGAGATATCTCAGTGGACCTATTAAAAATATACCGAAATTACAATAAATTTAATTAGAAAATGTTTAATCAAGTACAGTCAATTACAATTTTAATTAAAGCATATAAAATCATTTCATATAAATACACTACTAGAACTGGGTATATTGCGGTGACCAGGATACCAGGATTTTGGAAAAATTTAGAATGTTCCAATTTTAAACGATCCGTTAATTTAAAATTGAAACATTCTAAATTTTAAAGTTTTTTTTAATTAAGTACTATTACGAATATATTCAAAATGGTGGTTAGGCTTCAATCACTTAAAACAAAATATTTTTCTGTGACCATTTTTTTTATTGCGCATACATATATCTAAACCGTTGTTTGTATAGATTCATCTTAAAAAACAGGAAATATATAAAACTGTGATAGATCTTTTTCTTTAAGATCATTCTATTACTGTTTATTATATTGATATCATTTCATATACATATGTTGTCTTACGGGCAATACCAACTCTATATGTTAACTGCTCAATGATTTGTAGAAGGGTCATTAGTTGTTTCCAATGCATGATGTGATTTTTTTACTGGGTTGTTTAGGCTATTCTCAAGTGCTTGGATCTGTAGCACTGCGACCTATATAGATTTATTGTGCTCGCCCTTTTTCAGAGTTACCTAGACCCGTCAGGGACATGAAATTAAGTATATCCTTACGAGCGATGGTTTTTACCTCCTCAAGATAGAGTGTAAACTTTCCAAAGGAGATATTACGTTTATACATGAGTGAGCTACAACCATATAGGATGTGTAGTGTCGTTTTCTCTTCAGTTTGGCAAAATCTGCAGATTTTTGTTGTGTACTGGCCTAATTTTGATGTGATAACTTTACATAATAGTTTATACTTGTTTTTTTTAATTATATAAAAATGACCAACTAGTTAAAGTATTTTTATATATGTTTATAAAATCTATCTATATCTATATTTATCTTTCTATCTATATCTTTTTTATATCATTTAAAATAAAGGATTAAGAGAGCTCTTTTATATTATCCTTACTAGCAATATTAATGTGAAAGCGAGTTTGTTTATTTTATTGCCTCTGAATAGGGCGCAACCAATCGTCATGAAATTTGACACTCAATTGTATTTAGGACGGTAACGGATATTATTTTTTATTATGGTTAATCACATTATCCCGGGCACGCGAATACAGTCACGATAATCCTTACTAATATAAATGCGAAACTCTGGGTGTCTGTCACGCTTTCACGCCAAAACTACTGAACCGATTTAAATGATATTTGGTACACAGATAATCTAGACCTTGAGAAAGAACATATGCTATTTTTAATGGTTAATTAGTTTAATGATAAAAAAACGATTGCAAGGGGTTGAATGGGGTGATGAAAGGTTGTATGGAAATATCGTCTTTTTAAGGAGTTTGAAACTTATTTTTTCGAATGTTGATTAAATATAAATACATATGACATTCAAAGTTTGTACAAAATTTTACCCTTTAATATTAAAATAAGTTATATATAATAAGTTTGCATGAAAATTCATCATTCGTCAACTATTCCACGCGGACGAAGTAGCGGGCACAGCTAGTTACTAAAATATTTATGAAGCTGGCTGTACTTCTAACTCTCACGTTTGATTTCTAAAGACACCTTCTTAATTGAAATTCCATAGAAGACATCTAACGGTAAATAGTAATTGGATGAAGCATTGAAAAATTTTGCGTATTTATCAAAATTAATTCGTGAATTTAATTAGATATCTGCTTTAGAAAGTGAAGATAGTTCTCCTTTTAATATTGGAATAGATTGTATTGTCTACTAGATACGTATCTACTCTTATATATTTAAAACCGCATAAACAGCGAATCTTGCGAACTAGCGTCAACCAATGACTTCGAAATTTGAAAAATGATTATTTGATAGTATTCTCCATCACTCAACGATCTCATAATAGACTTCCACAATCCCAGAATAGCAGAACATTGGAACTCCTATCGGTTCCTTCACACTCTAGTTGTATCTGTCTGTCAGGAGCTTTTCCTCAGCCGCTTCATAACTCTGGAAAATTGGCGGTTCTCCACCAGATATTTTTCCAGAAACTTTTGTCACACACAACGACTTTGTGCAATGGTATTTCCGAAGTAATATGATATTGAAATTTTCAGATCTTGAAACATTTTCTGTAGTTACGATCAAACAGCATTGCAATAGATCGAAAAAACTTAATTGTTTTTATTATGCATTGCATCCGTATAAAGTCATGTGCGTTGATGTTTATGTTTCATCCATTTCAGCGGCTGAATATGCTGCATTTTGATTTAAATACCTCAACCTTGCCATTGCGGAGATCTAAGCTGTCATACCTCCGTACCCTTAACAAACTGACGACTTATAACCGGCACCAAACATCTTTCTTCACGTGTCAAAATGTGTAGGAAAAGTACTCTGTACAACTATAAATTACCCCTGACTATTGCTGACATTTAGCACGGTAGATAAATATTAAAGGTTCATTCCATATTCCTGTTGCTAAACAGCTTATTTTGTGAATTATGTGTTTCATATATCTCGGACGGTACCGAGCCACTTAGATTTAGGCTTTGAAGAATGCACAACGGAATATTCAACGGACAGTCTGTAGAATATGTATAATGTTCTGAAGGACTGTTTGACATGATGGCTACAGATACTTTTTACCACCGCTCGCCATCGATAGGAAATTCATCCCCACACACAGGAATCTGAGTGGTTTCCGACAAGCTTCGCGTACATATATTGCGGAATGAACTACCTGCCGAGGTTTTCTTTAGAGACTACAGTACGGGGTTTTTCAAGAAGGGTATATTAATGTTTCTTAAGGGTCGATGTATGAAATGTGCACGTGACACCCTTGGTATTTCAGGAATCCCTGGGCTACAGTAATCGTTTACAACCAAATGATTGATATGCATGATTGCCACCTATCAGGTGTAAAATGATACTGTATGTATTATACAATCGATAAACATCGAGATATTTTGGAGCAACAGTAGAATAGCTATATTTATATTTTATTTCCTTTTCTGTACATTTTACCTATGTGACAGTTACGATTAATGGAAAATAGAGCGTGTAATGTGATGACTGATGAATGTATGATGTCGATCGTCAGTAACGATATAATATTTTTTTATGACGGAAAGTTGTGAAGCGTCCTACCTTACATCCTGTAAACGATCGGCCTCCAAAAGTTTGTTTATTTACGGTCTAGTGGTAAGGACACTGCCTTATTTTCCGATATTCAGTTGTTCGCAACGCAAACATTTGTATACCTGCATGAATATCTATACATATAATAATATATACATACATACGTAACTGTGGCAATAGATTAAGATAATTTTGATGTACCTGTATATTGTACCATAATAATAGTGGCCATAAACAAACCACACATCGCTATTTAGTCTCAAGCTAAGCAGAGCTTGTGTTATAAATACGTAAACACAGATCAATATAAGCAATAGTCATAAGTACGAATGTTTGAATCGAACCCCCGCCTATCGGAAGGACGACGGTTTACTAAACCATTGGACTGCTGAGGTCAATACGTAGTTGTTAAAAAAACTAAAATATATGCTCTGTTAATTTGAAAACAGATTTGCTAAAATTACAAAAGAATAAATTTAGTTAAAATAATCGCAAATAGAACTAGTTTTATGCAAACTGTTTAAGTTCTTTTGTTTATTAAATAGGAATGTCAAAGAAGCTGATGGTCCTGGAAGTAAGTGTTTACTATCGTCTAAATACATGAACATCATTACGACATTACGATATTCTTTGACACCTACGATACCACTCATGCTCTGGTATTCCACAGGAAAATATCTTCAAGGTAATCATGCATCATCATGACAGCCTTGGTGGTCTAGTGGTTTAGCACACCGCTTTACTTCCGATGGTCGCGGGTTCGATTCCAAGCACGACACAAACATTTGTATTCATGAGTATGATTGTTTGTATCGGTCTGGGTGTTTTCTATGTATATTATGCATATATTTACAAAAAAAATCTGAGTATTTATATCAGTTGTCTAGTACCCATAACACAAGCTCTGCTTACCATGGGACTAGATGGCACCGTGTTAATTGTCCAGGGGTATTTATGTCTTTTATCTTGTAATTCGACTGCTTTATACATCTTACTGCTTGGCTGTCAATCAATTGGATTAAGTGTGACTGTACTCACACTGGCAACTTTTTACAAAGTTTATGTCGGCATAATTATATACATTACATTGGTCTAGTTTTTATCTTTATTCGTGACAAGCTATAATAAAAAGATAATAAGCATGGATGAACGTGCTTCATTACAAAATAAATGGAGCACTAAATTATTTAAAACAATACTAAAAGTAGTTAAATAATTTTGTATATATTTTGTAGCAATAATTATTGTAAGATTATATAAAAAATGTATTCCTGGTTATATATATATATAACATATAACAAGCATAGAAATCAGTGAGATATAGGTAAATTTGTGGAATACAGTCCACTTAGTCTATTTATATTAGAAGCTATATATTTCGAACACCAAGGTCTAAATTGTCAGTTCATTTTATTGATCAGTCCCTTCTCTTCTTCTTCTTCCTGGTTTCCCTTCTTGGACTTAGTTTGTGATGTTTCTTTGATACGACAATTCTTTGATTTCTTTTATCGCCTATAATATTTATTTAACATAATTGATTATGGTTATTAGATTACATCTAAAAATCATAATAAACATTCAATTATATTTATAGATTAAATGTAACATAAATAATTTGCTCATGATATAACCATAAAGAAAACAATTTGACATAGGAATATTTCTCCGTTGAAAATGGATGACAGAATTATATTTCACGATTTACAATACTGTTTTTCACTTTATATTCTGGTATCTTGCGAAGGTAAAAAGGTTTAAGCCTTTTAGGGTTGCACGGAAAGGTAAATTGGGATAAACGTGTCACATATTCGTACCTGTAATAATTTTTAGAGCAGTTGGTTTTGGGTTGGAATTAGGACTAATGATAAATCAAATGATAATGCTTGGGCCGAGTTATGAATGTAAATGAAGCGAGTATTGTTTGTAAAGAGAAAACGGTTCTCTTTAGATATTTTTGAGTATACGCCATAAACATTTTAAATAGATAATCAATAAGATAATAAAAGAAGACTCTGAACAATGTCCTCTGCTTGCTTTGTAAAATATGTTGTATTATTTTGTATGTTGGTTTCTGTTTCCGCATTTAGCCTCTCGTTTCGCCAAGGCTACTATAGTATCTAGCCAAGCTCCCCCTGGATTCTTCACAGGCTTTACGGAGCGACCTTACAATTCCGAGGATTTGTAGCCACTGCTACATATTACAGGATCTGGTGGCCAGGCTTTTCTTCGGCTTCAAAGCAGCCCCGACAAAGAGGACTGTCTGTGGCACCTGTTGTATACAAGTATTTGTTCAAAGGACAGTGGCCCGTTATTATCCCTATTGTTTTGAGGTTTTTCCTGTTTAGGTTGTAAAATATGTTTCCATTAAAGGAAGATATGGAGGTGAAATAACAAAATTACTGAATACGGAAGCGTTATCTCTCAGTCTTTAGGAATAGCAACGCATGAGGGCATCACATGAGAACGTAATGTCACTGTTAGAGGCTTTTTCCATGATTGTCACTTACCATCGTGCAGGCCGATACTTTATTTGGCATCCCATAAAAATAGACATTAATTTATTAACTCACGAATTAGGATGTTCCAAATTGCGGTTTTCAAACGGATTGTATGAATTTTCATCTCCTTTCGATGTTACACTCAGCGACGATTGGAATCCAGGATTACTTGTCAATTCAGCCCTGAAAAAGAAAACGAGATTTCTTATTCACACAACATTTACTTTAATTTAACTATTGAATTTCGATTAGCGGTAATTCTTTGTATTATACGGTCATCCACAAGCTTCAATTTCCTTAAATTCCTAATAGAAAATAAGAGAAGAAGTTCGAAGGAATGACAAAATTACCTTAGTTAAGTAGATTATTTTGTTAACATCAAAGTAGTTAGTTTAGACTACTTTAGTCTTTGACACTTACAGCTGCAGTCACAATTAAAGTCAAATTTAAAGTAGAAGTTGATGTCAAACTTATATGCATACGCAAAATTAAGTTAAGTACTTTAAGACTTTTAGGCCACTTATACAAGTAATTGTTTATATTAACCACGGTTGTTTGTTTCCGTTCAGCACTGGGTAATTTAAAATATTATACATGTTTATTATGCATTAAAGTATAATTAAATATGTATAGCTTAATACAGACTCTACCGATAAGCAATAATTACGATATTTATTTAAAATAGACACATGAAAAATATAGCCAAATATAAAATTCAGAAATCAAATTAAATTAAATCGCAAATTCTTTTCACATTTTTTCTATTCAGCACAGTATTAGCATATTTTCCGTGTAATTTCCAAGTTATATTAAGCCTAATTAACATAAAGGTCCCTGTTTCGAGTACGGGTGCATTAACTAATGAAAAGTCTCTTAGGTTTATAAGAAACTGGCGCCATCTTTTCTATCTACTTGATTATGAACAGCAGCTTTTGTATACTATTTATATTTATCTTTAATGTATAGTCTTGAATGTAACAAGACTATATATTAAAAACACATTATATCCAGGTTATTTTTTAAAATAAAATGTAGTCTATTTTTATCCTTATTTATGCTCTGTGTTTTTTTTATAGCACAGGGGACAAACGAGCAGGCGGCTCACATGTGGTAAGTGATTACCGCTGCCCATGAGCACCACTGGAAGAATTTCAAGTGCGTTGTCGGTCTTTTAAAAAAGAATAAGCTCTTTTGTTGTAGGTTTCAATATCGTATCGGTTCGGAAATTGGTATTTCCGCACATTGGTATTTTCTGCATAACAACATTGTGATAAATATAAATGTTGTTGTGCGTGGTAAAAAGTTTCTACAAAACTGTATTATGTAGGACCGTCATTCATCCAGATGATCAGGATGGTATTTTAGTTTCTGGCGGGTGGTACGGTGATGAAACTCAACAGCTGGTATTACGAATTAGTTCGTTTATAATGTTAATCCGAATATATATATGAGTATCATAACCAGTACAAGTTGGAACAATTCAAAAGTATATATTATGATAATAACTTTTATGTTTAATGCTGTGACGGTTCGCCTAGTACTCATTTTAGTTTTACGTCATATTTTGCATAAAATGGGCGATAAAAGGAAATAACAAGAAAAATGTACATATTAAAAATATTCACTTCAAAAATTGTACATACATAGAATAAATTAGCATATATTCCGTTATTTCATTGACAAAATAATTGTAGTAGAAGCATCGTCTTATTTGATAAATAAAATACATAAAATAAGTTAGATGTAAAATAGTACAAAATATTAAATAAAATCAATATTGTGTATTTAGCTTTCAACACCAGAAAAAGGATAGTTCGCTATAACTATCTATAGGTATTACATGTGTGTCAAAATAAAGCCATTAAAAACTGTTAAATGCATATATGTAAACATGGTTACTAGCAGAAAAGACAATAGGGCGGCATCCTTTTGTGTTCGTCAAAAGAAGGCCGACAAACACACTATCTACAGATATTACACGTGTGTTAAAAACAAAACTATTAAGAACTGTTAAATATTTTTCTGTAAACATATTTACTAGCAAATAGAACAATAGAACGGCATCCTTTGTGTTTAACAAAAGAAAGCCGACATGCATACATAGGATGTTCCAATTTACTACGTTGTAAGAGATCATGATTTAAATAGATAAATAGAAAACGACTTCTAAGGAATTAATTGTATTGAAACATTAGTTCAGGTTTTGATAATAGAAAGGAATTTATTAGAATTTCATAAAAACACAGTATGTAAAATAATAGTATCAACAGAATGAGCGGTTATATATGAATACTAACGTTTATATAATTATAATGATTTATTAAGTAAATTATAAATTACATTTTTATTTTTATTACAGACTTTAATATTAATTACATATTATATATGTGTTTGCGATTTATTATAATGTTATATCAACATTAAATTAATAAACAAGTAAATATATTATGTAAACTCGGTAAATGGTTGTTTATATATTATATAGGAAAAATATTTGTAAAACAAAATAAAATTTAGGATAAAGAAAAGTGTTACAAAATAAATTTAAAAATCATCCTGTATAATTAGTGTGAAATGCCTAAGAACGAAGTTCTCACGTTGAGTTATGTTTAGATATATATATTTGGCAAAAACAAAGTCGGTAGAAGGTTGTTAGGAAGGATGAAGAATCAAAAGAAAGGTTAGTCGTCGGCGAGCTTCCGTAGGAGTAACAAGTGTATATTTAACTCTTTTACTATTCGTAAATAAGGAGATTTTAGTAAGTGATTTTAATACTTTAATATCCGTTCTTGTCAACATATTGGTAAGTCATTTTAATTCTTTCACTTTATTTATTGTGCTCATAATATACTGTATGTCTGTTATCATTTGACTGTATTATTGGGATATTTTAGATAAACTGCCAAGTTAATTAGGAAATGAACATGTGTTTATTTATTTTATGATTTGCGTGGAATTAATATGTTGACGAATACATTGATTTAGTTTAATTACTTATAATATAAAATTTAACGAGCATGGTTTATTTGTGTCTTTCTTATATTACGATAATAGTCTCAATTTGTACCTACATAAATCTGAGTTATATTGATTTATTTTCTTTAGTTAGGTTGAAAGGTTAGGAGTTTAATATTAAATGTGTATATTTACTCGTTAGATGCTAATGAATTTAATTGTGTCCTTTAACAGTTGTTGATAACTCTAATATTTTATATGAGAATTATATTAATAATAAATTTACTACGACTAAACTAAAAGTAAATTAAGGAAGTTATAGTAAAACCCTATTGTACTTATAATGATGGCTAATAATAGTTCAGTTACTTATCAAAAATAAATATTTCATTCACTTATTTCAACTATTTATTACTTATTTCAAATATTTCATTACTCACACTGAATGTCTTGCTGTGTGGTGTTCCTTATTTGGGATAGTAAATTACGTTTACTATTTCGAATATGTAGATATTGCATGGTTAATATTTAGTACACGTCTATATTATATTACACGGAAGATGTAATGAGAGGAAGATCTTTGAGTCTTATATATATAGTTTTGCTGAAGGCTTTATTAGAAGGAGGCAAATGTTTGTATCGATGAATAAACTATTGAAGTAACATTTTCCAATAATTTATGATGATCAAATGTGAACCGTAAATCTCTATGGAGACTTTAGCAAGTAAGTGAAGTTATAATAAATAGGTTGTGGAAGTTTTTATCAGGAGGAGAGAGAGGCTCAGATCGATGAATCTATGATGAAGTCACATGTTCCATCATTTGAGGAGAGATGAGTCAAAGCTCGCAATGAAGGTTTTAGACCACGATCCCTGTGGAGATTTCTACAACCAGTAGGGACTTAACTTAGTTGATAACACTGTGGTTATCTAGGACACACACCCTAAGTTTTACCGTATGCATGTTGTATGGCTAGTGTATCAATATAGCGATATGTTGCTACTCTGGATATGCAGCATTGTGTGGGTAAAGTTTATGACGCATTACATTTATTATATTACAACTTATTATACACTGCACAAAGTAAATAGATAATTAATAAATGAATTAACCCATACGAAGATTATATACATTCCACAAAAGATGTCGCTTGGGGGTTTCTGGTTACTGAAGGCTTCACTAGAAGGAGGAAAATACTTGTATCGATGATTGAACTATTGAAGTGACATTTTCCAATAGTTTTTGATGATATATTATGATCCGTAAATCTCTATGGAGGCTTTAGTAAGGAAATATAATATCTGTAATAGTTGTGGAAGTTTTCATCAAGAGGAGAGAGAGGCTCAGATCGATGAATTTATGATGAAGTCACATGTTCCATCATTTGAGGAGAGATGGGTCAAAGCTCGTAATGAAGGTTTTAGACCACGATCCCTGTGGAGATTTCTACAACCAATAGGGATTTCTGTTTAGTTGATAACTGAGTGGTTATCTAGGACACACACCCTAAGTTTTATAGTATGCATGTTGTATGGCTGGTGTATCAATATAGAGATATATTGATACTCTGGATATGCAGCATTGTGTGAGTAAAGTTTAGGACGCATTATATTTATTATATTACAACTTATTATACACTGCACAAATTAAATAAGTAATTAATAGACGAATTAACCATTGAATATAATTATATTAACCAGCAGAAGCAATAGCAATGCGGTTCACTATGACTTCCTTATAGATATATAGATATATCTTGCATTTCATAAATAAAGGAATTGCTAAATTATAATATAGAATTATTATATTGAAGTATAAGAATGCATTTATTAGATCACCACATTGAGATTAGTAATATTAAGTGTATATGCACTTAATGTTGTAACAACCTTTATGTTAAATATATTTTATATGAATAGCATAAATTAATAATTAGGGTTGTAAGAGATTACATTTATATATATGTAACTGTGAATATTGTAGGCATTGGGGGGTTTATTAGATGAATTCTGGGAGGTTCCCAGAAGTAGTGAAGGTGAGTGTTAATGCATTCTAAAAGAGCTCTTTAAACCTACACCCGAGTCACAAGTCTCGGGCACCACTTGTGGTTCTCTCCCTGAATCATCAGTGGCCGGTATGAAGGCTAATCGTCATCATAACTAGTGGGTTTAATAAACATGTACATATAAGGTATAATTGCTAATTAAGCCAGTATTATAATAAGACT